GGGGTTAGAAGGATGGGTGTGGCCGGCGGGCGCCTGTCAGGGCGTTCGGACTTACCAGCGAGCTACAGCCAGGGAGAGTACTAGTGAGCAGCACGGGCTGGTGCAGTGAGAGCTGAGCGCTCCCGGGGAGTGGTGAAGAGCTCATTTTCACCGTAGGGGACTACCCACCGGTGGTAGAGTGCTTAGCTATTTGCAGAGAGTTTTCTCTTAAATAATAACAAATATGGGGAAAGCAGTTTAGCGAGGAGCGTGAATTCTGGGACCGTCTATTGAGTGTTCATTATCGTCAGGCTCTGTGCTAAGCACATTACATTTATTATGTTTTTGGATCCTTCAAATAACCCTAGAAAGTAGGTATTACGCCTGTTTTACTGAGGAGGAAGTTTGTCTTGGAGTACTTAAAAAATAATAGAGGGTAAAATTAATAGTAGCTAACAGGTGTTGATTTCATAAATTATACATTTTCTCGTGTTTATAAACATGAATTAGGTATTATACCTTTTAAAAATAAATGACCATGGGGAGGCTCATGTGCTTTAAGATGGTCAGCAGAGAAGGAAACAGAGGCAGGTGGGTGGGAGCCAGGCACGGAAGTGAGAGGGCAGTGAGGAGGTGGGGTAGAGAGATGGGGTGGAGGGGGTGTTCCTGGGCAGCGAGTCACAGAACTTCTATGGCAGGCTGAAGGAGCTCCAAAGAGCTGAAATTTGGGGGAGATCGCACCTTCCTGAGAACTGGGCTAAAAAGAAGCATTATTTCTCCTGTGAGTGGGAAGAGGATAATTTCAAAGTCGAAATTGTGGGTTCTACTTTCCGACTCTTGACTTTGGGCAAGTAATATTGCTCTTCTAAACCTCAATTTCTTTATACATAAAATGGCAATATAAACAAAGAATGAAAGTGAACTAGATTAAAATCACAATGCAATACATTACACACCACCAGATAGGCAAAAATTTTAAAGTGCAACACTACCAGATATTGGCGAGCATGTAAAGCAACAAGACCTCTCATACACTGCTTGTGGAAGTGGAAACTGGTTACAACCGCGTTGGAATACAATGTGGCATTATCTAATAAAACATAAATTTAAAATTTGAAATTTAAAAAACTTTATTTAATTTTAAAAATTCTGTGATCAAAAATTTGAGAACAGCTATTTCAGAGAAACTTATGCACAGGTATATCATGATACATATACAGGAATATTTAAAGCCTAATAAGAGTCCCAACCTGGCAATACCCCAAATATCCATAAATTTGAGTATATTAATAAAATGGGACATTACATAGCAATGAAAATGAACATATAGCAGCATAGGAAAATTATATAAACATAATGCAACAGAAGCTAGGCAAAAGAGAAATAATAGGCAAAAACTTCAAAGTGCAACACTACCAGATTGGGCGAGCATGTAAAGCAACAAGACCCGTCAACTAAATGATACTACTTTCCCTAATACAGTGATCCAAAGAAGCAAGGGAATGACTATCTCAAAAATCAGGGTAGTAGGGAAGAATAGGGTAATAGGTGAGAAGCAACACAGGGTGGCCTGTGAGGTGAGGGCTCTTCGGTGCCTGCAATGCTTTTTTTTCTTTTTTTGCCTAGAGGTAGTTACATTTATTTCAACTTTATAATACTTGTTAAACTCACATATGTTTTATGTATTTTTCTATATGTTTGTTATATTTCACAATAAGAAAAGAGAAAAAATGGGATGGGGGGGGGGAAAGGGGTCCTAATATATGGTGACAGGAGAAGATTTGACTTTGGGTGGTGGGCACATGGTGCAATATATAGATCTTGCAACATAGAAACCCACACCTGAAACCTATATGTTCATGTTGACCAATGTCACCCCAATAAACTTTAAAAAATAATAAAAATAAAATGGCAATTGAAAAAGTAATATGTAGATGTTAAGGTTGAAGAATAGCACATTAAAAGCTAAAAAAAACCCTTATGTATTTTATGATTAACTATAAGTGAATTTCTTTGAACTGTCCTGAAAAAAAAACACAAAAGGAAAAATTACTATGTTGGATGCATCAGTTAGCTATTATTTTGGGGGGAAAAACACCTCAAAACTTATGGCTTGCACAATATATATTACTGCCTGGAAGACTATAGGTCAGCTGGTGCATCTGCTCTCAGATGGGCTCACTCATCATCTGTGGTCAGACGGAGGTTGGGTGGACAGCTTTGCTGATCTTGGCTGGGTGTACTCATATTTTGGTGGAACAGCTGGTTATAGGCTGATCTAGAATGGCCTTGGCTAGGACAACTGGACTCTCCTCCATATGGTTCATGTTGTAGCCTCTCATCCTCCAATAGGCTAGCCCAGGATTGTGCACTCAGTGGTTATAGGATTCCACAAGAATGTGCAAGGCTTCTTGAGGCCTAGGCTCAGAACTGGGCCATCATTTCTGCCTCATTCTGTAACCCAAAACAAATCAAATTATAATTTGATATAAGGCCAACCTAGTTTCAAGGGACAGGGAAGAGCTGCAAAGTCAGGGCTCCATTAGGGAAGCAGAAGAATGAAAAACTATATATATATATGTAGTAAGGAGTCGACTATAGGAATTTGACATTTCTAGTTGGGGTAGCTGGTTAAACAGTTTCGGGGAGGCTGTTACTTCTTCATCTGGTGCCGGAGCCTGAAGTCTGCAGGTAAAGCAGTCAGAAAGGGAAGATGGATGTGAAGTGGAAGGAGGAAGAGAAACTGGACCTTCAAGGATTGGCCACAATCCACATCACTTTCTTACCACATCCAAGCCTCCAACTTCCATGATGGATGGTCTACAGGAAGAGCTGGTGTTCTTCATTGAGTTAAACATGCACCTGGCCCAGAGCCATTCCTTTCTTTGGGTGCAGAAAGGAATATTGCTGCTGCTTCATCACTTCTGTTTTTCAAAATGTCTCTTGTGGACCACTAACCCCCAACTATGCAGGGAATGAAATTTGAGGAAAGAATAGTTCCAGCTGAGCTAAGTTAATACAGTACAAATGCACCACAGACACTGCAGAAGCGGGGTGTGGGGGTGGGATTAGGGAAGAATTTTGTTAATTTTTGCAATCAATCTATCCCACTGGATAAAGACAGAAAATGAATAAAATTAGATTCTTGCCCTTGGACAGTTCATAGTCTATAAAATAGAAATTTAACTTTGTTCCAAATTTTTAGTTTATCTTTTCCTCATTTCCCAGGATTATTATAAGAACCAGAGAGTATATATTGTGAAAAATCTTCATAAAATACACGACATGATATGATCTTTATGTCAGATACACATTCTTGTAGGGACTACAAAATAGTACAAGAAAAAAACAAACAAACCATGATTTGTTCAGGTTACAATAGAAATTTTGACCTAAATATAGGCTTTTTGCCTAGGCCATCTCATACCCCTTCCTAATGTAGGTAGTGTCATGTAGGCTTGGGCAAATTACCTAACTTTCTGATACCCAGTTTCTTCATCCATAAAAAAGAGGTAATAATGCCTATTTTATAGGTGGCTGAGAAAATTGAATGAGATGAGATAATATCCATACAGCATACAGCTCACAGCATAGTGCATTAAATGAAGTAGAGACTCTATATATAATTCTCCTTCAAAAAGCTACAATGAAAAAATTTTATCTTATTACTCCTATACCAGTATATGGGTCTATGCTTATTTCTGTATGTTAGACTATTAAATCAGGTTAAGTGATCAGGTTGGAAGGTAAATATAGGGCAGCGGTTCCCAACCTGTGGGTCGTGACCCCTTTGGTGGTCGAACGACCCTTTCACAGGGGTTGCCTAAGACCATCCTGCATATCAGATATTTACATTACAATTCATAACAGTAGCAACATTACAGTTATGAAGTAGCAACGAAAATAATTTTATGGTTGGGTCACAACATGAGGAACTGTATTTAAAGGGCCAGAAGGTTGAGAACCACTGATATAGGGTGTCCCCCAAAATGTAAACACACACTTTGAATAATTATATGTAACAACTAGAGGCCCGGTGCATGAAAATTCATGCACTGGACGGGGGTCCCTCAGCCCGGCCTGCCCCCTCTCACAGTCCAGGAGTTCTCAGGGGCGGGGGGCGACCCGGCAATCAGGGGAAGGCGACACCCCATCACACCTCTGCTGCTGCCACTGCCGGCAGCGCAAGCCTCGGCCAGCCCTGGTTACCTGAGCCTCGGGCGGCCCTGGGCTGCTGGGCAGCCACCATTTGAGGCTTGCCTGCACCTTGGGCCAGCCCTGGGCAGGTCGGGGGCTAAGGGGACTGGAGGACTTCGGAGGCAGGAGGGCCCAGCCTTGCTGCACGCCTGCAAACCCAGCAGGGCTGAGTGGACTGGGTGCCGCCATCTTGTGGCTGTGGGCGCCGCCATCTTTGAGGGCGGGGCAGTCAATTAACATATTCCCTTCTTAT